GCTGACCCCACCTACCACCCGAAACCCCTCACCACCCTTGCCGGCACCGGAGACCCCCACCGCCCTGCCCAGCCCGGGCCCTGAGGCAGCTTGCTGCCGGCCTTGGGGGACCAGTCTCTACCCGGAGCTCCGAGGGCCTGCTGCGCATCGCCAAGGCTGTCCAGAGCCAGTTCCTTCCTTCAGGAAGGAGGAGACTGAGGCCCGAAAACTGCGCACCCCCACCCCGACAGCACCAGCTGACCAGGGCCCAATCTTGAATCGACTCCTCAATGACCACCGTTGCCACCACCCGATTCTGCAGCCTGGGGCCTTGGTGGGCACAGACCACCGGGGAGTTTGGAGAGCTGGTGGCCCTACTGGGCTCTCCTTTATGAAGAGGGATGGCTCTAAAGAGGACCCTTCCTCATCTGAGGTTACCTGGCCCTGTACCTGGAACTGGCCCAGACCCGGCTGGGTGAGATTAGGAGGGGCTTCTCGGAGGAGGGACTTGGAGATGCGCAGGCATCCCACCTCCTCTCAGTGCTGACTCTGGGCTTCCCAAGCGTCCTCAGATTCCCGCAGGTGTGTGTTGGGGGCAGTCCCAGAGCCTGATGAGACACACAGGTGGCTGTGCGAAAGACCCTGGCCTTCTGCGGTGCCTTCACAGGCCCTTCGGATCACTTAGTCACCAGGCTTCTGGCCTGAGTCGATACAGCCCTCCCTGAACACAATCATTCCTCAGCAAGCGACCGGCCACTTTGCCATGTGCAGGGCTTTCTTGGGTTGCGTGAACTGGACATGTGTCCCGTTCTGGCCATCGGTGGTCACAGCACTGTTCCCAGCCTCTCTTCCTTCCGTGGCCAGTGGGAGGGCAGGGCCCCCACCCTTGCATTCTGAAGGGAGCCCAGGGTTGATGGCACAGCCACGGTGCCGCGGGCCTGCAGTGCTAACAGGCGGTGTCTTGGCTCCTACCTGGGCCTTTCCACTTCGTGAGTGACCCAGTTCCCTTCCCTAATCTCTGGAGTTGCAGACAACAACCCTTCCAGAAAATCGGGGTTAACAGCCTGGTCCAAGCATAGCTAGAGGAACCAAGCAGCCAAGCGTGTTCAGCCGAGCAGTCCTTGGCCCCCAGTGGCTACCTGTACTCTGCAGGAATAACGTGCTTGGCCAGGCTCTGGGGACTGAACCCATCCCCTGGCATGGGAAGTGTACAGAGCACAAGGAACTGGAGAAGTCTGTGGTGGGTGGGGGGATCCAAGGAAGCTTGACCACCTGTAGAAGATCAGCGATGAGCTCAAGCCCCGAGCTGCTCGTGGACGTTAGGGCAGCAGGACCCGCCTGTGACCAGCTCTCACTCTCACTGCCCTAAAACTGAGTCCAAAACTGTACACAGCTGGATACGGATTGTTTCAAAAGAGACACAGAAGGTGAGTCTGTGGCCTCCCCAGCTGCGTTCAGGGACAGCTGGAGCACTGGTGCGGCCCAAAGAAGGGGAGCCGAGGGATGGGGCAGCCGAGGGGACCCCAATTCTACTTTCCAAGCGCCCCCACTGCTCTCCATGGCCCCTTTCCCCTCATTGGACAAAGTTGTCCCCACACTGGAAGACCCTGTAATGACATCCCCTGAAAGAGTTACTTTGTAAGAGAGAAGTCAGTTCCCCTCAAAGCCCCCCGGCCAGGCCCCATCCTGAGACCTGGGAGAAGCAGGTCCCAAGGCAAAAGTCACAGCCAGATGCGGAAGGCTTCGCTACCAGGAGAACTGCAGGAGGCTGAGTCTGTGTCGGCAGAACTCTGCAGAGTGTGTATGGGATGGATTCAGAGAGCAGGCATGGCTAGCAGACCTGGCCTGTGGGGCACCCAGTGATCTGGCTCAGCTGAGTCTGCCTGGCCAGCTGACCACCTGGAGGCTGGACTCGGTGGCCCGTGTTAAAACAGGGTTGAGAGGCCATAAACTCCTGTATATAATGTAGGGAAAGGAATTCAGAGGTTTATTCCAGTTCTGAAAGTCTTTGATCAAGGTGTCAGCAGCACTGGTCCTTCTGAGACTGTGACAGGATCTAGCCCAGACCTCTGTCCTCAGCTTATAGATGGCCGTCTTCACCCCGTGTCTCTTCACGCCGTATTCCCTCTCTGCATGTCTCGCTCCCAGTTCAAATGCCCCCCTTTTACAAAGGCACTAGCTGTCTTGGATTGGAGGCCCGCCTCACCCCAGTGTGAAGTCATCTTAGTTAATTACACCTCAAGGACCCATATGAGGGTCCCATTCTGAGGCACTGGGGCTGAGGACTTCAACATGTGAACTTTCAGGGTACATAGTTCAACCCAGAACAGACAGTGATGTGAGCACATTTGGGCACATGACTTTGAGTCCCTGCGCCGCAGTCTTTTCCTCATGCCGACTGGGAACACGGTTTTGTAGCTGGAGCTCTGCTTGGGGCTGTAGGGGTGAGAGCCACCCCCTCCACCACGCTAGCCCTCCAGCCGCCGTGTTTATGCCCGTGGTGGGGGCCCTGCTACACCCAGCCAAACCCAGACGCTCATGAATACCTGTTCCCATGCCCGAGGGTGCTGTGTCACTGGGGCTCCTGGGGTTCTGGGGGCCTGAGGCCCTGGGCCGTATCAGGATGTCCCCCTCATCCTGCCCTGTGGCTTGTCATCGAGACCGTTTCACAGCTATTCCCCTTGGGCTTGAAGGGACCACACAAGCACTGTCAATCATCAGTAAACGGTTGCAGGGGCAATGCAACCAGGGGAGGGGTGAAGGAGGTGGCCATGAAAATCCTGCCCCGCCAGGATGCTGCCAGATCAGTCACCCTGTTCACCCCCAGAGTAGGGACCCATGGCCTCCAGTCTCCCTAAGGTACCTGTTGAAAATACACCCCTTGACTTTAAAGGCCAGACCAGCCACACCGATAGCCAGCCAGCCGTCCATCCCCAAACGGCTTCCTGTTCTGGCATATTTTGTGGCAAGGGCGTCCAACTCAGGCCGACACTCACCCACTGCAGCTCCTTGCTCTAAAGGCCCAGCCAGGATGAGCTGATGGAAGACTGGCCTGAGAAGAGCAGCTTTAGGAAGGAAAACAGAAGTGAGCATGCCATCTCAGGCCTCGGGCACCGCTGTGGTTGTCTCGTGGGGCTGCTATGACAGATAACCACAAACTGATGCTTTAGGAAGAGCAGAAATGGATTCTCCACGATTGTAGAGGCCAGAAGTCCAAGGTCAAGGTGTGTGCAGGGGTGGTTCGCCCTGGAGGTTTTTAGCTGACTCCATTCCCCGCCTCTTCTGGTTTCTGGTAGCTGCCAGCAGCCTTGGCTGGGGGCCGTGTGACCCCTATCTCTGCCTCCCTCATCCTGTGGCCTCCTCCCCTGTGTCTGTGTCTCAAACCTTCCTCTCTCCTCTTGCAAGGATCCCAGAAACTGGGTTGAGGTCTCACCCTTAATCCAGGATGACCTCCTCCTGAGATCCTTAATCACATCTGCAGAGACTCTGTTTCCAAATAAGTTCACAGGTGCTGGACGTTGAGACATGGATAACCTTCTGGAGTCCGCCACTCAACTCGCCCCACCGCAGCCACCAAGAAATGCCGTTTCATTTGGCTTCAGTGACACACACCCCACCCCTCCTTGGTTACAGAGTATTTTAAAGTTGGTTGTGGGATAGTGAGAAACACAAAACCCATGACTGATACCACAGAACGCAACACCCTGTGCAGGGCCACCTGCCCGTCACCAAAGCCCACCTTGGCGCTCAGCGACTGCCCTGCCACTGCCTGGACAGTGATGTGCCAAAAAGCATGTGACGCCCCGGTCACAGCAGTCAGCCTGGCCCAGGCCAGACGGGCTCATGGGACCCCCACATGTGTGGAACACAGACAGATCTGCTGCGCTGGCTCTGGAGCCATGTCTCAAAGCTTCTGCTGCACGTGACATGCCTGCTCCCTCTCCCTTCTTGCTCTGGACTTTGCTCCTCCCAGCACACTGGGAGGATGTCCCCATCCACAACCAGGCGGAGGGCTAGGCAGCAGGAAATCCTGATCTACATTCCTCTTCCTGAACGTTTGCAAGCCCAGGAGTGACAAGACGTGATTGGTGATAGTGTTTGGGCCCTGGCCTTGGGGTGACCCCCAGCCAAGGCCTCCCCATTAAAATAGGACAAGTCACGGGTGGCCTCTGCCAGGAAAGGCCTTACCTTGTGCTGACTCGGCAAATGAAAAGAGGCTCACGGCTGACTGCAAGGACAGGGGCCCCACCCCCACCCTACCCCAGGGAAGGTACAAGCCTGGCCTCCAGAAGCCCCACAACCACCAGGCACCTCCAGCAACCAGATGGAAGTGCTCTTGGGGTGTCAGCCACATAATGGACTCCCTATAGTAACTCAGGGAGGCCCTCAAAGCTGTCCTGGAGAGGCAGCCTCAGACGGGGGCCCCTGAAGTAGGGCACTCCAGCCCTGTGGGTGTCCACAGGACATGGGGGAAAGGGTTCAGGAACAGCAGGAGGGCATGTCTCTGAAGGCCCTCTTGCTCCACAGGGCCTGGATCTGCCCTTGTGCGTCCTCTAGTGCCCACTGCAGACAGGTGGGGGGCCAGGAGGAGAAAGGGGCAAGGGTGGGCTTGACCTAGGCTCACAGTTCAAAGCCTGGACCTGGCAGGGCAGGCGGCTTCTCCAGGAAGAGGGCCTGGAGCGGGGCTGAGGGGTGGGTTTAGAGCCTGAACAAGGGGTTTACACTCAGATTTACATTAAATTTAAACAATTAGGATTCAATTTATTGAAGTTATAAATTCAAAATCTAATTTTTTTAATGTGCTAAGTTCTTCAATTTTATAAACTCTATTATTCCATTTATAAGCCTGGCAGATTTTATAGTCATTTTTTTTTAATGGAGGTACTGGGGATTGAACCCAGGGCTTAATGCATGCTAAGCATATGTTCTACCACTGAGCTATACCCACCCCTCAATTTTATAGTCATTTTTAAGGGCCCTCTGCATAATATTTGGTTCCACCTACAAACTCAGTTAATTAAGCTTTTTTTTTAAATATATACTTTATTTACTTTTCTGGTAATTAAGCATTTTTAAGATTTTGAACTGAATTTATGAGTTAAATATATTTTATTCCCTTCTTATGTGCTTTAGCTTGTCTGAATTGGCAGCAAAACCTCTGGTGCTCCAAGTGCTCATATACTCAGTAGATTAAATATTCAAAATGGTGAGCCCCAAGTTGTCTGAAATGTTCCAGAAACCTGAAATAGCAAATGTGTTCAGGTTTCACTTAATATGTAAGTGCTAACGGCGTGGTTCTGATTCTCTTAACCCTTTCTATGCCTTATTCTAAATCTCCCTATGGCTGGCTGATAGCTATCATTCAAAGCAGTCAGTTTTCAATCTGGGTTCTGGGGCCCCTTGGCACCAGCTATGCCAGCTGGGAGGCTGACAGCTTGTGCTCACAACCCCACAGAACCCCCAAACCCTGCACAGTGGGATCTCTGCAGGGGGAGCTGGTGTGGGGCTCCCTGCCCCTCCTTCCTGCCTGCTCTTGGAGGATGCAGTGCTGGCTCAGACTGAACACAGTGATTTCACAATTCTTTAGCTCCAAAGACCTCTGCACTCAGTGGGATCCTAAGGTGACTAAATGCTTTACCAAGAGAACTTTGGCCTT